TCCCCTCGGCCAGCCTTCCTGTGGTTCTGGGTGATGTCCGTTTTGTCTTTTAGTTGTATTTTTGAAGTGGTTGTGCGAGGCAGCAAACTCCAGTGTTTACCTATGCCGCCATCTTGTTTTTTCTCCAGGAGGTTTCTTTAAAGCAGTGGTTCTCAACCTTCCTAACGCCGCGACCCTTTAATACAGTTCCTCATGTTGTGGTGACCCCCAACCATAAAATCATTTTCGTTGCTACTTCATAACTGTAGTGTTGCTACTGTTATGAATCGTCATGTAAATATCTGATATGGAGGATGTATTTCCATTGTGACAAATTGAACATAATGAAAGCATAGTGATTAATCACAAAAACAATATGTAATTATATGTGCGTTTTCCGATGGTCTGAGGCGACCCTTGTGAAAGGGTCGATCGACCGCCAAAGGGGTCGCGACCCACAGGTTGAGAACTGCTGCGTTAAAGTCATTGCTCTCACCGGCCGGCCAGCCTGGCAGCCTTACAGACTCAGAGACTGGAAGTAACCACACAGCCGGCGGCTCAGGGGTGGGGCGTCCACCTAGGAGCCGGGAGGTCCCAGTTGGACTCCGGTCAGGGCACAGGCCAGGCTGCAGGCTCGGTCCCCAGTGGGGGGCGTGCAGGGGCAGCCGATCGAGGTCCCCCCTCATCAACCTTTCCATCTCTTTATCCCTCTCCCTTCCTCGCTCTCTAAAAAAATGAAATAAAAATCAATAAAAAATATAAAAATACAAGTAACCACACAGGATGGTCTGAATGAAGACGTTCTAACCAGAAGCAGTTCAGGCGGCCGCCGTGTCGTCGGCCGGCGTCTTCCCTCCCGAGGTTCATCGCCGCCGCTGCTGAGCCTGCCTCTGGGATGACGCGCCTTTGGAAAAGCAACGTGATTTTCCTGTTCCCAGATCCCTCGGGGCCCGGCCGCGGCACCAGAGCAGAGACCACAGATCCCCGAGTTGTCATCATGGTCGCGTCCTCACCAACGTTAACTATCCTGCATCCAGAACCCTCCCCGGAAACACCCGGAATCCTCCACGGAAACACCCAGACAGAACCCTCCACAAAACATCCGGAACCTTCCATGGAAACACCCAGAACCTTCCACGGGAACAGCCAGAACCCTCCTTGCAAACACCCAGAACCCTCCACAGAAACACCCGGAACCCTCTATTGTGTGACTGTTACTACTTTTCTGTCTGGAATCTTCCACTTGAAGGTAAAAACCAACCCACAAAGCACTCGCTCACCAAAGCCCCCGGAAGGCAGAGAGGGGAAGGTGTTCGTGCCTCGGCTCCCTCTGAAACGAAGACGGGGTCACCCCACCTGGAAAGGGAGTGGGGGGGTTGGCTGCAAGAAGGTGACCTTGCGGCCAGGCCTGGGAGGAGCAGCCTATAGCTTCCGGCAAAATGCTCTTTCCTGCTGCCATACGCACTTTTACAGAATTTTTAAAGAACATGTTTTTATTGATCTCAGAGAGAAAGGGAGAGGGAGAGAGAGACAGAAACATCAATGATGAGTGAATCACCGATCGGCTGCCTCCTGCACGCCCCACACTGGGGATGGAGCCCGCAACCCAGGCACATGTCCTGACCGGGAATCGCACCTGGGACCCTTCAGGCCACAGGCTGACGCTCTATCCACTGAACCACACCAGCCAGGGCTGGCTCCCCTGTTCAGACTCCATTCCCAGCTTGACTCCGGAGTCTGGAGTCTGTGGGTGCCGCCTGCTGAAATGGGGCCTCCCCGTTCCCGTCCTGCCTCCAGTGGAGGGCGCGGCTCTCATCTCAGAGAGGGACGGGGCGGCTGGGCCTCGTCACTCTCTGGGCGCCCGCCCGGCGTGAGGCAGCATCAGTTGTCCTGGAGCAGCCGAGGGTCCCCCGAGGGTCCTCTTGGGTCCCGAAGGTCGACCAGGTGGCGAAGGGCGGGGCTCCCCCCAGATCGCCTGAAGAAGCCGGGCTCCTGGGGCTGCCGGCCTCGGGGCCTGAGAAGCAGAGGTGCCAGGAGGCTGTGCTGGGACCCGGAGGGGCAGGCGAGGTGCCGGGCAGCGAGGGACCCAGTGGCCGGGAGGGGCCAGGCGGGGTGAGTGGAGGAAGTGGCCGGCAGGGCCGGCTGCGAGCAGAGAGGGGCTGCCTGGCTGCTGGGCCTGTGTCCTCCCTGCTCCCCGGGCCTGGGGGCCCGGGGTTGCCCAGGGTCACAGGCCCTGCCCGCGGCTGGAGTCTGGGGGCCAGGAGACCCTGTCTCGCGCTGCTGGTGGACAGGGCGCCTGTGAGGTCAGGTCTCGGTGAGGCTGGCGACCCGCGGGGAGAGGCGGTCGCTGTGCCCGCAGACCGGGAGAGTGGGGTGCGTGTGGGTCCGGCACCTTCCCCAGCACCCCTCCCTCCCTCTCTCCCTCGGCCGGGGCATCTTCTAGACCAGGGGTGGGCAAACTTTTTGACTCGAGGGCCACAATGGGTTCTTAAACTGGACCGG